TACTTTGAAAGCAAGAATTCTTGATACACATGCTTAATCTATATATGATGTACTGATATTAGTAATGTGAGTAAAGGCTCTATTATCATATTGCTATCTGATATCAATATAGTTGTTAAGATGCTTGCTTATGTGATGAAGTTTTGGTTCCAATTGATAGATTATTTTTGAAATAGGAGTTAAAGTTCTCTAAGATTATATGGTGAAGTTTGTTATAAATAGCAAGCTTGATTGCTTGATATGGTTGTTTAAGAGCTAGATTTCTTTTTTTTTTCTCATGTTGGAGATAGACTGTTGTTAATAAAATATTTTTATTGCTCCTGAATTTTAAAATGATTGAGGAACAATACTTGAAGACATCTCCTATTTTGAATATGTGGGATAAGAAGTCTTTTTCAATGATAAATATAGTAACATTTTTTTCTGATTAGAGTTGCTATAGATAATTGCTCTTTTATTAATATTTTTTGAATAAAAGGCTTCTTTTTTAAACTTGGTTTCAATACAAAGTAGAATAATCCTACTGTCTGTTATATTTATTAGGACTTTGAATTTGGCTAGATCATTATGACTTTCTGGTATTAATAGTAGTAAATATAATAAAGTTTTTTGTATTATTAATATTATTAAATTAGTATATATAGTGTGTATAGTTTGGAATAGACTGATTAAAGAGTTTTTGTATTAAATTTTTAGTGAATGTGTTTGCAGTATTATAAATAGTTGAATTTTGTTTAGTATTTATTAGATTAGAGTTGGTTGATATATTAAGCATATTGAAATTATTAAACATATTGATTAATACAAAAGGTGAGATAAAACTTCAGTTTTAGAAGTATCTCTTTAATAATAAGGAAATCAGATAGTCTGGTAAATAGAAATATTTGATGAAGTTGATAAATAATTGTTAAAAGAAAGTCATTGTTTACTAAAAGAAAGCTAAGAGTCATAAGACTCTTGTTTGATAAGATTTTGTTAATTTCTTATGAGTCTTCAGGCAGAGGGATTCAAAAATTAGTAAACCAATTTTCTGAAATTTTTTAAAACTTATAAAATTTATAAATTGTTCAAAATCAATATTTTTATTTTTATATAATTAAGTAAATTTAAATATAGATTTAATTAATTAAATTTAACATATATTCAAATCAATCAATTATTTATAAAGGTAATAAATTTTTATAATTAAATAAATATGAATTCTAAATATTATAAATATATATATATTATTATTATATATTTTATTAATTATTTAATTTTTTGGGAAGGTGTTTTTCCAATAGATAAATATCATTTTTTTATTTAATATTGTATATAACAAGGTATATATCATAAAAGAAACAACATCTTTTTTATTATTTCAGGAAAGTTAAATGCTAGCTTGCCTACTTATCAATATTTAACTAATATTATAAAAAAATTCAAAATCAATATTAATGTACTAGATAAGACTAAATAGTAACTATATCTATTATTTTAGAAAATTTTATAAATTCTTTTAATTTTTTAAGTGTAAAAAATTAAAATAAAAAATAAAAGTAACTATAATTAAAATTAGATCAAATATATTATAAGATTTATGTATGTAATGAAAGAATCCCCAGATAGGTTTATTGTCATATCTTTCCAATTTTTCAAGTACTATAGATAATAAAGTATATGTGATGTTGTTTGTTGTTACAGTTGTTAATAGTAAGTTAGTTATTATTATTGTTGTGATTATTGTTGTGGTATAAAACTGATTTAAGCTTGTTTGGATTTTGTTTTGATCTTTAAGCAAAATCTGATTAAATGATTGAAGGACATTGATTATCTGAAAAGAGTAAATTAATTTCAGTTTTTGGGGTAAATTTTTGGAGGTTGAAGGTGGTGCAACAAATATTGTTATGAAAATATTGTGTATAAAAGTTGACTTAAAACAAACAGTAGACATACTAACTCTATTTGAATATGTGTTTTGGAAAATATTTGATTTAGTAAATATAATAGTAATAATATATATGGTTTTTATAATAGAATAAGTGTAAGAAGAGATACAAGAGAACTGAAAAAAAAAAACTGCCATGAGTCTTTTCTTATGTAATTAAAGGATAAGCAAGACTTCTAAATTTGAATAGACTTTGATCAGAAATTTTATTTCATTGCACCAGTTGTTTTAAAGGTCTTAAGTTTCTAAGCTAGAGTTTATTTGTAATAAAAAGAATAAATTATTTTTTTTTGCTTAAAATTACCATAAAAGAAAAATTTTTAACAAAATGGACATGATTAGAAGAAAGTTTTATAAAGTTTAATATTAATTATTTAATTTTTTAATTTTTGTTTATTGAATATATATATATTTATTTATTAATTTTTTTATTGTATAATTCAAAAAAACAAATATTTCAAAAAAAAATTTATTTACTTTCTTTAATAATATCAATATTACTATAAATTTTAATTTTTTTTAATAATTATAAAAAAAACTTATTTATAAAATTAAAAAAATAATTATTTAATTAAAAATTTATAGGTTTATAATATAGTAGTAATACTTTATAGGTTATCAAGAAAAGATCTAAGATTCAAATTTACCTGGTTACAAAAACTTATCACCTTTATAATTGGCTAACTAACTTCCAATTTATATTATATTCAAATAATCAAAAATTAATTTTTAAATTTAGCTAGGCTATATAAAAATAAGATATTTGATCTTTTTAATAATTATAGCTGAAAATATATTAAAGCAAGAAAGATTGCATAAGAAAAAGCTTCTGATATAACTCCTATTACAAGTCCATATTCTCTTTAATATGACAGACTCTATAATAAGAAGCATATTAACTTAATTAGATAACTTTAAAGAGAATTACTATAAGGATACAAATACATAGATAAAACCTATAACAATTTTACAGGAATTGCACTCTGCTTGATATTTGTATTTTTAGATTTAGTTATCTTAATTTAATTTTAAATTTTTTATTATATTAAACTTTAAATAATAATTAATTAAATTAATATATAACAAAAAATATAAATAAAATATATAATTATACAGTTCTAATAAAAAAAAACTGAAATTAGATTCTTGTATATTTTTATTACTAATTTAATAAAAAGTTAATAAAATAAAATAAAATTATATATATATATATTTGAAAATATAAAGAATAAACTTATAAATTTTTTTATTAAATTTTAATTTGAAAAAAAAATTTTTTTAAAAAAAAGGTATTTTAATTAAATTATAAAAAATATAAATAAAAAATTTTTTCAATTAATTTAATATATGTATTTATTAAATAAAGGTATATAAAATTATAAAAAAATTTTTAAATTAATTAAATTAATTAAATTTTTGTTAAAAAATTATGATTTTATAGTAAAATTAACTTTTTGATATCTTAAAATTTTTTTAAAATTTATTTTACAAAATATAATTTCTGATCTTAATTTTATTAGTAAAAGTTATTTTTTTAAAAATTACTTTTAAACAACTTTAAATTAACATTTTACAATAAAATTATTAATTAATTATTAATAAAATTTTAATATTTTTATTCCTAAATCCTAATAAATATATATTTAAATTTTTATTTGATTTGAATAAATAATTATTAATTTATAAAAAAATTTCAATAAATAATTATTAATTTATAAAAAAATTTCAATTCCAGTTTTTTTTGATCAGGACTGTATATATTGTATGTATATTTGATTTTTGAGTTGCCATTTATATTTTACTAAGCACCTACCGTCATAGTATGGGCAACAGGCAAACCGCGATCTCGAGTCGCAAATTTCGATTGAGGCGATGAGGTAGAAGAGATTCAAAGTCATAAAGAGTTATTTGCACAAAAAAAAGAGAAGTATCAGTCAAATTATACGCGGTTATTTCGCGAATTGTGTGATGTTTGGTTAATTTTAATTTATGGCTTACGCGAAAATCTGATCGAAGTTAACGACAGACTCGTTGTTTGGCCTGCTATCCTATGTAAAATTTATTTCCGATATTCTATGAATAACATTGGGATTTTTCTCTGTATTTAAAATATCACAGCCATTATGATGTCTTAATATTGTTATGTGGCTTACACATAAATCAAGTTTCTTTGAAATAATCTGGAAGTAGATGAATTATCTAATCACCACAAGCTGTTGATTTTTATCTACCTGCTGCTCAAAAAATGGTTCATGAGGTGAAATATTAGTTCTTTCCCCAATATTTCTCTTCACAAATATGTATTTACGGTCCAAAAAATGACTGTCTACCTCACATGATGAAATATATTTCGAGGCAAATGGTAAAGATAAATAAATGATCACATTAGTGTCATTAACTATACTTGATGAAACTTGACTGATATTTCCATCTGTCTTTCCAGCGTAAATCATATCACCACGATGCTGTCATTCATTTATTATAGATACACCGATTATCCAAGGTAAAATATGTTAATGAATGCATGAATTGGTTTACAGTACACCTTGAAAAATATTGATTCTACCATCAAGAACAAACCTTTAAGCCTAAGATTTCGTGTGATAAATTATGGGCCTACGTTAGAACGAAATTCTCTATGAATCCACTAGCGAAGATTGAAATTTGAATACATTAAGCTGCTTGGTGTGGTTTGTGGCCGTTCTTTAAGTAAATTTGAAATGCGAAAAAAAAGTTTTAGTTTTTTTCTATCTTATTAAACTATCTCATCAAAATCACCCACAAAATGATTATTTTTATTTGATTATCTCGGATAAATTAATTATGGATCTTTTTTACTTCAACGATCTAAGGCAAGGAATAATCTTCTCTAAAAAATATTATTATTGACCTATTAAAAAAGTAATCTGCAATTATAACGATAAAAGTAGTTAACTATAAACGTAATACTTTTATGTTTAAAAATTCGTTGATATTTACATAAAAGAATAGATTATAAGGCACATCAATTCATAATTTGTGATAAATATCTACAATTTCAAAATCAAACCTTTTTTTTTTTACACATGAAGTATTAAGAATGCTTTTCCAATAAAGTGTACCCCCCAACAAAAAAGCAAACGAGTAGAATCAGCCCAATAAAGAAAGATAGTGAACTAGGTGCACATCTTTTTTTTGGTTTCTGTTCTGTGCTGTTGATGGAAGTGTTCGAGGTGCATTTATTATCATCAGGTTGGGAAGTGTTCGAGGTGCATTTATTATCATCGGGTTGGGAAGTGTTCGAGGTGCATGTATTATCATCAGGTTGAACAGTAAGTTCTCTTGTTTCCTCATCAATCTCTAAAGTTGTATGGCATCTTATATTCGTTTGAGATGCCAACCTTCGTAAACTCTGTAGTCGACGATGCCGGGATGATTTATGTATTGGTGGTGGAGTCGTGATTTTTCGATCTTGAACAGGATTTACCGATAATTCGGTGGTTGTGCTATTCATTTCTTATTATTATTAAACGTTTATAAAATTATGAACGGATTTATAGGAGGGTGAAGAAAAAATCATATGTAAAAATGACACATTTATTTATAGAAAAGTTGAGAAACCAACCTGTTTTTGGTATTGCATGAGAAAGTTTAACTGGTTATGGCACTTTAAGTTGTTCTCAATGGGTGATGGACTCCTGGGAGTTTACATCATTTAATTTAAATGTTGGCTATACAATGCGCGTTTAATCTTAACCGTTTTCAAGTCTCAAAAGTATCTTGATTGAACCAAGCGATTTTTTTTAATAATCGAGGATATTTCGTTAAACGAACCGTCCGTTAAAAAAAATAATTCTTTTAATCGATCAATAAAAATCCAGTCATTACATAATGAGAAACTTAAAATGGTAGTTGGTAACCAATTATGGGTTATCGCTCGTGTGTGGAAAGTTCGATGGTCTATTTATGTTACTATTTTATTTTTATTGATGTAATACAATGCAAAATCTGGATTGTTTGCTACTTATCAAGTTTGGTAAGTTCTTTATATGTTGCCCTAAATAGTGTGATTAATAAATAAGCATGAACCCTTTGTACTAATACATTTTGTTAGCATTAAATGACAAACATCAAACACTCGAGTAATGATTAAGTAATTTGCGACCCATAAAATTGTCAATGTGTTTTTTTTCTTTGTCTTCGTTACATTGACAATTTCTCATGCGTTCCCTGATTCCGCATAACGCATGATTAAGTCCATAGAGTCTAATTAATACTATTGATTTGATAAGTTTGGATGATCCCAAGTATTTAAACGGTAAATTAATCAAATCAGGATATACAGTATTAGAACAATGGATCGAAATAAACAAATTCGATCGATCATAAATAAACGTTGAATAAAAAATATCCATTCGTTTAATAATAGGCTTTACTTATTCATAAATCTATACAAACAGGGTTTTTTTAGACTGATTTATTATATTATGAAATGAGAATTATCTTAATAAATTTATTAATTATAATAAATGATTTGGTTATCAAAGTCTGAAACCAATGTACGCAATACAGTTACCAAAATAATATATTCTTAAAAAGGATTTAAATTATTAATTAATGATTAGAAACATATAACCATACAAGTAATTTTATTACAGCTAATTAATAATAGTATTATATTTAATTCAATAAAAATAATCAAAAAATAACTGTTTTGTTTTATTTAACTTTAAAACTCAAAAAAGAGACTATGATTGGTTTCTCCCTTCAAAAGATTAATATAGGATAATTATTTTATATTAATCTCAAGATTATTTATATAAATAAAACTATTGATGTTTTATTTACATTTATAATTAAAATCCAAACATTATATTCTTTTTCTTATTATTCCTATCTAATGAGTATATAAGTATAAAAATAAAAAAATTTTAAAATATGAACAAAATAATTTTGTGTTTATAAATTATTAGTTAATTTTATTTTTAAAGTTATGCTGAATATTATATATAAAACTTTTATTAAATAAAAGGTTATAGTCTATTATATCAAACATCTTTTACTCAATTTAATAATGAAATCAATACTATCTAATTAACAATTTCTAGTTATTAGTACCCTATTACAACTGCAGCATATCCAGTTATATACAATTTTAAATATCAAGTAAATGTTTCATATATCAAATAAAACTTATATAAAGGATAGAAATTCTATTATTAGTTTTAAATTATCTAACTTATTAAAATTTCAATTGCACTTAGTATAAAAAAAATACATTAAAAAATATTATTGGAAAGTTTAATTTCAATTATCTGTTAATATTTCTTTTTACTATTTGCAATTATAATATTTTTACTTAAATTATAATAATTCCTATTAAATTTAATTGATTTAATAATTTGATTTAATTTTTTTATTATTTGTAATAAATAATCTTGATTTTTTGATTCATATACAATATGGGACACTTGCTTTTGAAAAAATTTAATTAATTATAATTTAATAAAAATTTTATTAATCTAATATAAAAATTTAATCATATATTTTTTAAATATTTAAAAATCATTTATTAAAGTTTATTTATTAATTTATTAATA